ACATTGCCCTACTGGCCCAGTCTTTCTTATCTGCTCTGCTCCCTGATTTGACAGGAAGTGCTGTGCAGTGAGGGGCAACTCTGGGGTCAGGATGAGAAAGCCAGAACCATCACTGAGATTGCCCAGGGAAGAAAAAGCAACTTAAGCACAAGCAACACTTTTTTGTTTACTATTACTGAAATAGATTAAAATGGCTACCTCTTTGAAATCAAATTAGAAATCTCATTAAGAGATACTGGCTTGGAAGAAAGAAAAGCTGTGTCACATTGTTTTAAAATGCAATCTGCCTTCTAGTCTTTTAACATTAAAACAGTGCACTGTGCTAATATGGAGTTTTAAGAGGTTACCGTTTTAGGCCTCAATGAAGTTATAGCTAGCAATATGAGGCCTGGCAATAATGCTTCAGAAATTGAGCCACTAGGCGACATTCCAGAATTACTATACTGCCACGTATGCAGCATTTTTTATGTTTAACCTAACCCTTATTGTAAATATTTAACAGCTGGGAAATTTTATGGTAAATTCGCCTGTTCATGGTACATACTGTTGAGAGAATGTGCTTCAATTTGGGGACTATAAATTTCACTGTGTATGGAAATCATTACATATGTGAGGACTAGAAATATGAACAACAGCTTTTTAAAAAAACCCTCAGTAACCTATGGTCATATAAACTTCATTAATATGTCTCAAGACTACAGCTTAATGTGGCATCACTCAAAACATTCATCACTCAAAAGAGCATATAATAAACAACCGCAAGACAAAAGTTATTTGTAATATGAAACTTTTTCTTTCTTTCAGCCAGTGCTGAAATTATAGATCTGATAAATTCATTCTCAACTCAAGGCTAAAGGCTTCTTCTGTACTGTTCTGACTTTACATTACTGGTCCAAATTTCTAAATAATCCAGTGATGATATTTATAAAAGTTCCTGTTATGCGGGGTGGATTTGATTTAAATAATTTTTTTTTAAAAAATCATTGATTTTTTAAATCCATCCTGGATATCGACAGTAGAGAACAATGCACTTCTAGATAGCTGGCTCCTAGTACCATCAATCACACCTTGTGGAGCTATTTCATCTTGTCCTCTTTAGAAGTTCTTCTGTGGCGATTTCAAACAAGATGAAAGCAACAGTGGGAAAACACAGTAGCTACAAATGGAAGATGTTGCTGCTAGGTCCTCATGAACTTCTCTGAAGGAGGCATGGCAAATACACAATAAATTATTCTCCCTTCCTTGATACATAATGATTATAATTCTGTTTCTACATCCTTATCAAGCATGAAAGACAAAAATGGATAGTATATACAGGTATTTCAACATTACATCTTACTTTGTGAAGAAGCTACTTGGATGAGTAGCAAAACATTTCAACCTAATATGAAAGAAGTCCAGTTGCCACGGCTCAACTTCCACATAACCTCACCTGGATGACTGAGAATCTTCACATAGTCCTACTTTGTGCTAAGCATTTAGGAACTGACAACAACAACAAATGTTTGTGAAAGTTCATTTGTGACACAGCAGGTCTGTTCATGAACTCTTGAGGATGTACTTTGTGACCCACATTCTTACTGTAAACATTAAAACAAACTAATACCAGAAAAAGTCTGTTATACAGTCAATTCTAGAAGCTGCTTTTCCTACAACATATATTAACCCATTATGCATTGACAACACCCACCCACTTGCACTATATACAGACAATAACTTTGCTGACATTTAAGCATGTTGCTGTAAAGCTGTTGTAACAAAGTATTATGTTCCCTTTGTCCAGTTGCACTGGTTTTGCATACATCTACAAGCAACACCTGAAGCAAAATACAGAACAGCCCACAGTGAACTGCACTATGGCAAAAGATGTGTCATTACCATCTATGGAGCAGTTGTCATGACAAGTAGCACACTTTTTTGCTATTTCCTGCTCTAAGCAATTTTGACACCATTTAGGTTAAGATTGCAGTACTCTTCCCAGGGAATTATGAATTCATTCAAGAAGATACTACAGTAATCAAAAGCCATGACCAAATTATAAAATCCGCAAAATGAAAACATACAAAATGAACAAGGTCAAATGGTGGCAAAGATCATCTGATAACAACTTTTTTCAGTCTATCAACAGTGAAGCCAAACACAAAACAAACTATCTCCTGTTACCTGATAAATATAGATCACCTAGTGGTAAGCACAGCTAAATCATGTGGGAGATCAGGATGGCCTCCTTCTTGCTCTCCTTCTGATATTTTTCTATTTAGATGAGCCTTGTGACACTAATTGGCTGTTGCAAAAATGTCTTATAATGGTGGGCACTATTCTCTTTAGCTATTTGTCATTATTCTAAACGGTTCTAGTTCAGTTCTTGGTTTTAATGTATAACTTGCTTAATTGTATTTTAATATTATAACCTATTACCTTTTTACTTGTTTGTGTCAATTCATATTGAAAGCCCCCGGGAGCGGCTGGGAGAGATGTCAGATACTGTACAAGTAAAGTAAATAAATAAGGTGGTACAGCAAACAGAATACAGGAATACTGAACTTAGGTGGGGGGACCCATGACTAATTCCCTATTAAATTTTGTCTGTGCTGAAATTCCATCTCTATGCATATTTTGAATGTAACTTCATGGGATTTGTGTTTCACTGAAGATGCCTGAAACATTTTAAACTATTTCCAAAACAACAAAAAAAGTGAACATAAAAACATCTTCCACAACAGATGTGTCAGTTTGGTTTCACAGCATCTTTGCTGTATTTGCTGCAGAAACTTAACAGCGCTGTCTTTCCCCTAAAAACTCACTTATAGTATTCCCCCTTTAAACAAAGTTATGTCTAAAAAATATAGAAACCCATTCATTCAACAATTATTCTACAAGATATCCATAGCAGGAGCTGAAAGCCTGGGTAAACAGAAATGGATACAGTGGACCCTCTACTTACGGAATTAATCCGTAGTGGAACAGTGGCTGCAGGTCGAAAAGTCTGTAAGTCGAATCTCCATTGACCTACAATGCATTGAAAACCGATTAATCCTGTAACCGGCCGTTTTTGTTCCATTTTTGTCCCATTTTGGTTTTTTTCTGGTCTGTAGGTTGACTATCTGGCTGCAAGTCGAACCTAAATTTTGCGGCCAGAGAAGTCAGTAACTCGAAAAATCTGTAAGTCGAGGGTCCACTGTACTTGGATCAAGGTATTGTATTGATGTGGAGTTAAATACTGTGATAATATGTGGCAGGGACCAGATGCAGAAGTAGGAGTTTCTTGCACTTTCCTAGCTGCTGCTGCTGCCTAAAACTGTATGTTCTGATGGTGGCAGATACAAATAACTACTAGCTTTTGTTTTCTCATCTAGGAGCACTCACTATTGTTCCTTTGGCCTAGAAGCTTAGATGCAACCCAAGCATGTTCTAACTTAGCTAAACCTGCACAATACTTCTTGCACTCCTTTAAAGCCAGCCTCTATCTGAACCAACTGGAAGTCACTTAATATATTTCAAAGCAAAGTGAGAAAATGGCCAAGGTAACGCTATTGAAGCCTGCTTCTGGTCAAAAATAGTCTTATTTTAACATTTTTGTTTTCTTTTAATTTTACCTATATTTCATATGCATCCATAATTTTTAAATTGCCTCTCTGATATAAAGACATACTCCTTAAAGTTTTTCCATTATACCCATCTCTCACTCCCCACTCGGCTTCTCTAATTTAGCTTAGCCTGAATAAGAGCTCTAATGAAAAACCCAGTTTCCGCAGTACTTTACGACTCTATGTCACCCTAAAAGAGCTCCTACCACCTTACTATGGCATTTGATTTTCCCCCCCTTCCTCGCCCCAACATATACACTAAACGGATCACCGCTGTGACCTCCTAATCACAGTAAACATGGCCCCGTGCTAAATATACAGAGAAGTTTTTACAATACAGGTCACAGCCTCTGACAACCCTTGCAAGGGCTTTCCCATGACAGCGAGCCATCATCTCCGGCTGCCATCGTGGCTCCGCTCGCCCGCGCTCGCATTCCGTGTGGAGCGCGAGAGTGAGAAGGGTGGGAACGAGGGAAATTTGAACCAAAGGTGAGGCGGGAGACTCCGCGGTGCGGTCCCTCTGAACAGGAGAGAAGGGACTTCCAGAGGCGACGTCCCTAAAGCATCTGCCCCCCCCGTCTAAAAAAAGAAATATAAGACAAGGCTTCCCCGCCACGACCGACTCCTGCCCACTCCCCCAGAGACCCCGCGCTCGTTCAGGGCGGGGATGCGCGCCGCCTGGTCCGCCTCTCTCGCCCTCCCTAGGCCACGGTGAGGGAGAGAGAGAGAGGGAAGGGAAGGGAAGAGGCGGATTTCCCGGGGCCAGCAGCCCCCGCCGCCCGAGCGGACGCGCATCTTCCTCGGAGAGCCACTCCTCAGGCGGCCTCCCCCCGCCCAAGCCCTCCCTGACCAGCCTGTGGAGGGACGAACGGCTTGACATCGCCTCTCTCCCGTCCTTCCGCCCTGCCAGGAGGCGATGGCGGCGGGCTCTCCTCCTCCGGCGGCTGTTTTGAGCCTCCAGCCCCAAAACTACATCACGCCTCAGGCCCGGAGGAGGCGGCGAGAGCGCGGCGGGGAAAGGGGAGACTCCAACCGTCAACTTCAACATCCCCCCTCCTCCCGGGATTCAGGCGCCGTCCGTCGCTCGTGGTGGGGCGGAGAGGGGGGGAAACCCCTAAAGCGCTGCCCCCCTCCCTCCTAGCGGGTGTGAGGGACTGAGCAACGAGACCCCCCCCACACACACACACTCCTGCCCCGCGACGCGGAGCTGCCCCTTCGCCTCGTCTCTTCCACGTCCTTGTCACTTATGTCCGCCCCACAGGGCGCAGCTGAGGGGGGGAAAGGGAAAGGAATGCCGCTCCAAGCTCCCTCTTCAGCCCCCGCCACCGCCGTCCCCTGAGCAGAGCCCGCCAAAACAGAAGTAGGGCGACGCCGAACTTTTCCTGAGCCCGCCCGCCCGCCGAGATTCCCTACCTTCCCGGCGGCTCTTTAACCCCGCACTTCGCCTCCTCCTCCTTCCTACGCCGCCTCCTCGCTGCCTGCACCGCCACCGCCTTCCCTGCGTCTCATTCGAAATTGAAAATCGCTGCCTCGGCCGAGGAGGGCGGCCAGCGCAACCCAACCCTTAACCCTCCCTCCGCCGGGAGCCCCGCCCTAGGCTTGACCTAGCCTCTCCCCTTAGCCAATCATGGACGGCTGAACGGCTCTCAGGTCCCGCCTATTCGCCCTTCGGTTTTTGCTCCCCGCCCATCAATCACAGCCTCCGTCTCCTGCCCGCCTCCTCCCTCCCGCTCTTTCTAAACATACCCACGTAGCCTTCAGGCTTGCATTTTGAACGGCCGCGCCTTCGAAGCAAGGCAGTACTAGAGTTACGTTGGTATACGATCCGCTGTCGTATTCACAGAACAGTGGGAAAACGAAAACCGTTTCGGGATCTGGTGATTTGAGCCAGAATGGGCATGTTCTTGTCAACAGCAGTCTTTGATAGCAGATTTCTTTAAGGTTGTTTTTTTTTTGGGGGGGGGAGAAGGTTCAGGTGGGTCATAGGTATAGAAATCCAGTTCTGAAGTAAGTGACTTTTTAAATGTCATGTGAGTATGTGATCCATCGTGCTCCATCCATAGTGACTGGGAACCTCGGATTTTTATCATAGCCTGGACAAAATAAAGCACAGTTGCATGATAACTTTTCATTTACAAAAGATGCAGGCAGCAAGGAGTCTGCTGCTGTTTTCTTACGCCATTTTGTGAGCCTAGGGCATGCTTTCAAGTAAAGCTGCAATACTGCTTTACATATTCCTCAAGGTTCTAAAAGAACATGAGCCTTATTTCCAAGTAAGTGACATGACCCATTAGGTCACTTGTTGCCCACAAACCAGGCCCTAGATGAAGCATGAACAGTACTATGGCAAATTTACTTTCCTAATACAGTTACTGCACTTAGGCACATTAAACTTAGGAGTTTTAGGAAACTGTGACACTTTACCTACTGCTTGGTTAAATTTCTTTAAGTTTCATATCCAAATATTAACAACTGTTCATGCCTTCAAAATGTACTATGGTTCACTATCTGAATAATTTTACAAGTGCTTCTTGTTAGGTGGTATAAAGTCCCCTCCAACTTATGGCAATCCTATGAATAAGCAATCTCCAACATGTGCTGTCCTCGGCATCCATGCTCAGTTCTTGCAAACTACTGCAAAACCTGCAGCTTTCTTTACAGTGTCAGAGCATGGACTGAGTTCCTACTCCAGTCCTCTGAAGATGCCGGCCACAGAGACTTGTGAAACATCAGGAAGAACAACCTTCAGAACACGGCCAAAGAGCCCAAAAAACCCACAACAACTATCAGATCCCGACCGTGAAAGCCTTCGAGAATACATTAAACCTCCCAAGATCCATCGGAAACGGCGGGAAACACCCCCCCAAAAAAGAACCAAACCCCCCAAGACCCATCAGAAATGGGGGGAAAACCCAAAAGTAACCAACCCCCCCAGGACCCATCGGAAATGGGAAAAAACACTCCAAAAAGCAACAAAAAAAACCCAAGCCCCTTTGTAAATGGGGGGTAAAAAGCACAAACAAACAACCCCCCCCAAGACCCATCACAGCACAGAAACATACCCCCGCCAGCTCAAAACCACGCTGCAAAAACACCCAGAACAGTTTTACAGCACCTTACCTTACCAGGCAGCCCGAAGCCTCCCTGCAAACAACACACACACGCTCACTCAGAAGCAGAAGCGAGGCAGTCACAAGCACACACTCTAACTACTGGGGCGAAACAGCAACAAAGAAACAGCCTCTACGCCACCTACGGTTAGCAATTTGAATTTTCTGCCTTTTCATGTTCATAAGTGGAAGCTCCAGTCGCAAATAGAAGCAAAATTGTGCAGCCGGAGCTTTTCATAACTCAAAATGGTCATAAGTAGGGATGTTCGTAAGTTGAGGCACCACTGTACTTTGATAGTTTTTCCAATTATTTATTTTCAACTCTGGCATCCCCTAGAATTACAATCTCAATGATCCGGACATTTATTTGTCCTGTTACTACTATGTCTGGTGTGTTATGTTCAAGTTGTCTGTCTGTTTGGATCTGGAAATCCCACAAGATCTTGACTTCCTCATTTTCAGACACCTTCTCTACCTGATATTCCCATTGTTTTTTGGAGACTGACAAGTTATATTTTTTGCATAATGACTAGTGCACTAACTTTGCCACTCTATCATGTCTAACTTTGTAATCTGTGCAATCTTTGCACATTCACAGGTGTGACATAGTTTCATCTTTTTCTTGGTAGAGTCGACATTTGCTGTTAGCACTAACACCTTGGATCTTAGCTTTCATCGTGTTGGTTTGGAGTGCTTTTATTATTGTTGTTGTTGTTGTTGCTTTGTTGTTAATATTATTGATAATATTATTAATATGGATATTGATATCTTCTGTATGAGCTTCAAGTTTTATATTTGCCTGATGAAAAGTTGTGGAAAACTCTTATTTATAACTTTTTTGTTATATTATGTGCCATTAAGTCAGAACCACCTTATAGCTACCGTAGTAGAAAATAAACGGTAAGTAAGATATTTAAGGAATGGTTTCACTAGTTTCATTCCCCCAGTGAACCTCCATGGCTGAATGAGGATATGAACCCAGGCCTCCGAAGTCCTAACTCATCACTCTGTCCACTATACCACCTCTTTTCTAAAGAATTTTGATTACTGTAGAAATTGTGGGGAAATTTGTGCTGGATTTATGCAGAATTCAGACAAATAACTGCGGGTTCTGATTTCATGCTGAGCAATACTAACTCCATCCACTATTAACACTCAATGAAGTCCTGTCGTGTTATGGCTTCTCACAGAACCATGTATTTTGCTGAAGTGCTACGAATCTTGCTCTGTGATTCATCCTAGAAGTGCAGAGCTGGAAAAGACTCTATGGTGAATTTTCCTGGTGGCTGCATATATATGTGTTACGCTACATATTAAAGACAGGAGCATTTAGAAAACTACAGCTCAAATGCCATATAGCAGAGCAACAGTTTCCCACCTATCTAGTTGTTCGACTACTCTGGGCGGAGTACAACATACAAAATAAACAATTAAAATTGATTTTGGGCTGGACATAGAGTCCTGCCCATTAGAGATGCACAGTGGATATCTGAACTCCAACTTTTGGTGCAACCAGCCAGATACCTAAGCTACTGAGCTATCCTTGCAAAGAAGTAAAACTTAAGGTTGCAATCATATCCAAGTATACCTTTTGAACATACCCATTAGAAAACATCCACAGGACTGGACTATATAACTTAAGGATAGGTACATATGTTTTCTGTGGTTGCTGTTTACCAATTAAATGTTTGCCCTAGAGATCCTTCAAAACTCAAATCAGAATCTTCTGACAGTAATATTAATTTCTTTTATTTGGACAACTGTTTGTGGTTGAACAAATAATGTTTAGCACTCTAGTTAAATATATATTATTGCTTTTAAATTAGTATTAGTAATCCCAAACAATAAGTGTTAGCACAGGTTGAAATATAAAACAGACTTATGTGACACATCCATGGCAACCTTTGAGAAGAGCAAAAGGCTGCTTTAAGATTAAGGAGATAATTATGGCAGTTTTTAGAACCTGCATGTTTTGGTGATGAGGTCCATGGTCCCACACAGCAAGGAAGGGAATCTTAATATTTTAATAATATTAACATATTTAATAATATTAATATTATTTGAATCTTAATATTTTAATTATTAATCTTGTGCTTTACATACTAGATACTATTTTTGAAGGTTTGCTGTTGTACAAAAAAACCCACTTGTCTAGAGCCTAAATTAAATTAATTTTAGGGGAAGAGGAAGAGAGATTAGAAACAGGATTTGATACGCTAAGCCCAAAAGAGAAGATATCAGCTAGGGAAAGCATAAGAAACGTCATCTCTGGGAAACAAAGTTGGGAGCAGTAACTTTTTTTTTTTTAGTCCTCCAGTTATCTGACATTTTTTTTCACCAGTGGATTTGCAGAGCAAATTACAATTGTAGTGAGATTCTTCCGAGAGACTGTGGGCTCTCCTTCACTGGAAGATTTTTAGAGAGGTTGGCGAGCCATTTGTCAAAGATGTTTTAGCTCTGGACACTGTACAATAGCAGGGCATTGAATTAGATCAACCTTAGGGTCCCTTCCAACTCTGTGATAATTGTGGACATATTGTCCTTTCCTCTTTTTCTATGTAGCTAAAGGGGAATTGACTGTTGTTACAAGATGCTATTCCCCATGCTCTTACCTGTGTTATAAAGTTTAGCCATACCTGACCTGAGCTGCCAGCAAACACATTTGTTGAATCAACATGATGACACTGAAATTTTAGGCAAAGGCACCCTGTTATTTGTCATTTCACTTCACTGGACATATAATTTTAGCCAAACATTATTCTGATAAGCATATCCTATAAAATGCAGAGGAATCCATCTTGGACATGGAACAAAATCCATATCATGGCAGTTGGTCTAATAAGAACAATGCCTTCATATGATTTTGGATAGAGTATATCCTGTGCACTTTAAGGAAAAACTTGTTCCATAATCATTTACTTAATTGTCAAAGTGGTTCAGAAAGATAAATTGTCCAGCTAGGGAACTCAAGGTTCCTGAAAGGACCATCTGTAGTCTGAGTGAACTGTTGGATCAGCTTTTCCTGAGGCTGCTAAAAGACTTGTATGTTCTAAGGAAGATGGAAGATAAATCCAAAGCTCATACCGTCAGCTTCTGAAGTGCACTGGTGGCCGGGAAGAAAACTACTTTTTAAAATTCTTTATTATTTTTTATTTTTAAAATATTTCATTTTATATTTTAAACGTTAACTTCTTCAGATACTGCCAGAATGGCAGACCAATAGATTCTGCTGTGCTATTATGTGGTACTACCAACTGCAAGTTACTTGTCCTTCATGTGACAGTCTGGTACAATGCAGAAAAGAGTGAAAATCTTAAGGGAGCTAGTCAGTAATGTCTATAATGCTGCTACTGATTACTAATTGGTTGTTAACTTAGCAGCCTTTTAAAAGTTTATTTCTCTGGCTGATGGAGCATATGAATTTGCAAAGAGTTGGTCTCCAATAGAGCCCAAAACCCA